AGCACAGTGGCTCTACCCCCTGGGGCCTGCTCCGTGGCAGGCACAGAGCTAGGGCTGTAGGTCCATGGTCTCGCTGACTCCCTCAGCCACTCTGTTCATAATCATAGTAGAACCAAAGTAGGAACAAGTACTTACTGAGCGTGGACACTGCATCATCCTCTCCAGTTTTCACTACAGTCCCACGAAGTGGTTACTGCCACAGACCCCATATTTTAGAAGAGCACCGTGAGGCACCCGTGGCCTGTGGAGGGCAGCCCCAGCAGTGAAACCCAGATCTGCCTGTCTCAGGGCCTACACCCTGTCCACCACCCTCCCCAGTCACATCTGTCACCTCTCTCCTCCAGTGGATTGAGTAACCTTCCTCCTATGGCTGTCAGCTTGCTCACACCCCTTCCCCACAGTGGCTGCCAGGACACACACACACACACCATTCACAGGCACACATACACTCCCCCACACACTCAGCCAGGCTCCTGCTCCCACACATGCCTGCACACAGCCTCCCTCCCACCACCCACATACTGGTTACAATACCCATAAACTTCTCCACCTCGCCCCCATCTCACCTGTCCTGCCTCCCAAATCCAGGGTTCTTTGTCAGACAGGAGAGCTGGGGGGACAGGGGAGCCCCAGAAGGCAGGGTCTGGGTGGGCTTCCACATGCCCTTGGGCTAGGGGAGAGGAAGCTCGAGATCTTCTTACCAAGGGTACATTGGGTGGCCTTGTTTACTGCTGAGCTCAGCTGGTGCAGGGACCCCAGGCCTCTCTGGAGCTTTGTGTAGGCCCCACTACGTGCTCAGCCTGGCCAAGGCAAATGAACCTGGAAGGGCTGACTCCCCACTGCACTGAGCTTCCAGGCCTCCCAGAGCTAAGGGGCAGGCAGCCTGGGAGTCAGCATTGCGTTATTCCCAGTGATCTGGTCCAAGGGCAAGAAAGCTGGTTGCCAGTTTCTTGGAGGCTACAGGGTGGCATCAGGGTCAAAAGTCCTCTGGGAAAATCCCTCTCATCCTGTCCTCTCTCCTTCCCAAGAGTACTGTCAGGACCACTCCCCTGTGGGGGAGTCAGGGCTGGGATTCCAAACCATGCTTCACAGACGGGACAGGCCTGGGGCTGGCCGCTCTCCCAGTACCTTTGTTGCCAGGTGACCTTTGCTTACTTCAATGCCTTGTGACCAGGCCTCATTACTGCCCTCTAGAGTTCATTGGGCAGCCATGCAGGGGAGCATTGGGCAGCACTGGGGGCACTGCCTTACCCCTGGATGCTGGGACTCTGACCTTGCCTCCCCCAACCCCACAGGCCTCTGACCAATCACAGTCAGCCTCCTAGGCCCAACCTCCCCTCTTTCCACCCCCAGCTCTTAGGAAGGGGTTCCAGGACCCTCACTTTGCAGTCTATCTCCACTTCCTCTCTTTGCCTGTCCCCGAGCCTTGCACACTTGTAGGTTCTCTCCCCCAATCTTCTCTCCCTCCAAGAAACATATCTGCATGGAGCTCCATCCCAGACATTGTTAGGGGGCAAAGGATTTGGAGTCACACAAGCCTGGGATAGGGAATCCCAGCCCTGCATGTCAACTTTCCCATCTGTAAAATGGGCCAAGAAGTAGCACCCACTTTACAGGGTTATTGTGGAGGTTAAAGTACAGGGAGCAGGTAACCACAGAGCAGAGCCCTGGCCCATACGCAGCAACTGACCAATCAATACTGGCATCCATCACCAGTGACGTCAGCAGCACCATCACTGTTCGGACCATTGTGGACATTGAGATTTGGTGTGTACACTTGAAGTCAGACAGACCTGCATTTGGATCCCAAACCTGCTGCTTGCTGTGTGGCCCTGGGCATATCACCTGACCTCTCTGAACTAGTTTCCTTGTCTGGAAAAGGGGTAAATATTATATGCTCACAAGGCCGTTGGAAGATGAGAGACTCTGTAGGACTCTGAGCACAGGCAGGCACTGATGTTTACTTGGTAAATGTTGGCTGTTATTATTCTCCAGAGAGATTGAGGTGTGGTCCAAGAAGTGCTATGCTGACCGTCCTGCCGGTGGGGTGCCTTTCTGGCTTAGAGGCTTGCCTCTGTAGAGAAAGCTGATCTCTTCTGCTGCCTAGGCCTCCCTGCACCCCTATCAGTGACTGATGCCTTGTCTCCTGTGTGTCAGGCACTGTGCTGGACCCTGAGTGGGGAGAGCAGGAGGAGCACTAGGACTTGAGGCAGACCCCGTTCCTGTCATCAGTGAGTCATGCACTGCTCCCCAGGGCATGGCAGATTAAAGCAGGATGTGATTCAGAGCCAACTCCCAGTACAAACAGTGGAGAGCCTACTGCCTGGGGACTCAGAAGAGGTACTCAGCTGTCAGCAATGTAGGAGCCACCATTTAGAACAGATCAAGCACTTAGCACTCACTGTGTGATAGGCACTGTGCTAACCATCACGTTTCATTCTCACCAAACAGCAGTACAAAACAAAAAGGGGATGCTGCTGCAACTGCTTAGGTGGAACTCAGCTCCTCATGAGATCAGTTCTCTTAGTTCTAAGGCTTAGGGTCATCGCTTCGTGGGACTGTCCAGCCAGTTGACCTAACACTGTTGATAAAGTTTCTGTTCTCCCCCCTAGTTCAGTGAGTAGTGTCTGGAGTCTTAAAATCGTATAATTGGCCCTCTAAGGTACAACAATTGGTCTTTATGTTGTGCCTGGAGCAGCAGAGAAAGAAGGAGACCCAGGAATTGGAGAAGGAACTGGACTGCAGGTCTACTTGCCTCCATGAACTACTACTGCCTCCTTTGCCAGGAGACCAGAAGAACTGGATGGTGCTGGCTACCATTAGTGAACATTTTGGATCCAATAGATGAGTCCTGAGCAAAAGGGAGAAACGTGTGAAACAAAATTTAAAATTTCTTATAAAATGCAGGTTTACTGGAACCATTCTGGAGGGATCCCTAAATCTGTTGCCCTGAGAAATTTTTTGGACCTTGAACTGAAAGTATCCCCTGATGAAGTCATCTTCAAAATCAACAGTTTAGCTAAATTAGTAAGGAATGTTCATCTTGCGCATTGAGCTCTTTTAAAGAATTACCTACAGAACAAACTGACGACAATAACTCTAAAGCATTGATGAACTGTTTAAGGGCAATGGTGATGGAACAGAGGAGCTCTGGTGGTGTAGTGATTAAGGCATTTGGCTGCTAACCAGAAGGTTGTTGGTTCAAACCCACCAGCTGCTCCACAGAAGAAAGATGAGGCAGTCTGCTTCCATAAAGATTTACAGCCTTGGAAACCCATTGGGGGTCACTATGAGTCAGAATTGACTGGATGGCAGTGAGTTTGGTTTTTTGGGTTGGTGATGAACCACTTTGGGGAGAGAGAGTGACACTGGTAAGAGAGTTAAGAATGTAACCAATGTCACAGGGTTGTGTGTGTAGAAATTGTTGAATGGGCATATGATCTGTTGTGTATATTTTCACCAAAAAAAAAAACCAAATATTTTTTTAAAAATGCCCTCATTTTCCTGAGGTGGAAACTCAGGCCCAGAGAGGTTCCATGACTTCTCCAGGGCCACACAGCTAGAAGTGGACAAGCCAGGAGGGACTTGAGCCAGCTCCAAGGCTAGTTCTTCCACCCTCTACTGTCACAGCACCCTGTAAGTGGCAAGAGCACTAGAGATTTCTGAGTCTTAATTAAATCACTTACCAGCTATGGGACTATTTTTGGTTTCATGTGAAGGGACTGTAAAATGGGGCTATTATTCCTACCCTCTTACCTACAAAAAAAAAACAAAAATAAAACTCATTGCCATTGAGTTAATTCCAACTCACAGTGACCCCCATTGGGTTTCTGTGGAGGTAAATCTTTACGGAAATAGATTGCCCCGTCTTCCTTCCACAGAGCAGCTGGTGGGATTGAACCGCCAACCTTCTGGTTAGCAGTCAAATGCCTTAGGCATTTCTTACCCGCTCGGGAGCTCTGGTGACGTAGTACCTAAGGCATTTGACTGCTGACCAGAAGGCTGGCAGTTCAAATCCACCAGACACTCTTTGGAAGGAAGACCGGGCAATCTACTTCCGTAGAGATACTGCCTCAGAAACCCAAGGTGGGGCGGGGGGGCTGCTATGAGTCAAATCAACTTGGTGGCAGTGACTTAGGGGCTGGAAAACCAGTTGCCATAGAGTGATTCTGACTCATGCCGACCCCTCGTGTGTCAGAGAACGTGCTCCATAGGGTCTTCGATGGCTGATTTTTTGGAACTAGGTTGGCAGGCCTTTCTTCTGAGGTGCTTCTGGGTGGATTCAAGCCACCAACCTTCTGGCTAGCAGCTGCACACATTAACCATTTGTAGTACCCTAGGACTCCACTATCATTCTCGGATTCAAAAGCACTGTAAGGGGGGGCAACGAATTAGAGGGTTTCTTACATAATTTACTGTGTTGTCAGGGAGACTTGTGTACAGATGAAATGGGCAGAGAAAAACTGTGACACATCTTGTCAGCCGGTACAGCTGTGTGGTGCTCACAGAGAGGTCAGGACAAGAGTGAGGTGCAGCCAGTGGGGTGAGAAGGGGAACCTGGCCCAGCGCAGAGCTGAGGTGAATGTCCCCTGTTGTCCACACCCACAGGTATGTCCAGAGTCTCCTGGACATCATGGCGTTCCTGGACAAGGACCCTGAGGACCACCATACCCTGAACCAGTGAGTGGGGGTGGGGCAGGAGGGCAGGTGCAAGCAAAGGGCATCTGGGGTCACAGCCCCTCCAGAAGGGATTTGAGGGAAAATATGCCAACAGGAAAAAAGACATGACCTGTGTTCTGAGGGAGATCCATTCTGAGGGGGGAGACAGAGTCTGCTTTAGGGAGCCCCCAGACTTATGGAGAAACACAGAGATTCCATTCTTTGGGAGGCCTTGTCTGAGGGGAAGACAGCCCCTGCCCTCAGCGTGCCCTGAGCCTGATAGGAAAGATACAGGCCTGGCCCTTGGGAAGCCCCATTGGGAGAAACTGAGAGCTCCAGGCTTTTGAGTGAGGAGCTTGTCAGGCAGGCAAGTGGGAGAGGCAGGGTGGGATTGTGGGAAGAGTGGGGAGGGCATCGTGTGTCAGCGGGGGCTGGGCTGGTAGAATGGGTGAAGGCGCTGTGGAGAGGAGATGAGGACTGGAGTGTCTGAGGGGCGTCCTCCCCTGCAGGTTCACAGATGCCCTGGTCACCATCCGGAACCGTCACAATGACGTGGTGCCCACCATGGCACAGGGTGTGCTTGAGTATAAGGATACTTACGGTGATGACCCTGTCTCCAACCAGAACATCCAGTACTTCCTGGACCGCTTCTACCTCAGCCGCATCTCCATCCGTATGCTCATCAACCAGCACAGTGAGTGCAGGCGGCGGGGCGGGCGGCAGGGCTGCCGGGGCGGGCGGTTGCCTGAGCTGGGCTGCAGGGGCCACCCAGGGGCCTGGGGCTGTTCAGAAGCGGAAAGAAGAGGCATTGGCTCCAACGTGAAAACCGGAAACCGCAACTTCAACGTTAATCGATACTTCAGTGCTTACAGGATGTAAAATTATGTCACCTGTTTAGTAAGTGTGAAATTCAGTATTCACAGAAATGCTCATCACAGTCCCCGGCAGTTGGTTGTTTACAGTTGCTTATCCCAGGATTTACTATGATTGTGGAAATGTGGCAGTCGATTGCAAATCAAATGTGTTCGTTGTGCTCACATAATTACAGAAGTGAGACAGTAAAAACTATTTTTAAATGCTGTAGCAAAAAAGAATTCAGTGTGGGATATAGGTGCGTTTCCATGTGAGACATGATAGAGGGAGAGGCTTCTGGAAGGAAGAAAGCGTCAGGCCTTGGAAGGGCTAAAAACGGCCTGAGGAGGGCGGAGAAGGCCCAGAGCCTGGGAAGTGGAAGGGCGGTGGTGGGGCCTCTGAGGCTCAGGGCCCACAAAGGCAGAAGCTGGAGAGCCCTGCAGGGGGAGGGAAAGCTGGTGACTGCCCGGAGGCCCTGCCAGCCGCATCCTTTCTTCCTGTCCCCAGCCCTGATCTTTGACGGCAGCACCAACCCAGCCCACCCCAAACACATTGGCAGCATCGACCCCAACTGCAACGTCTCTGATGTGGTGAAAGGTGGGTCATCCCCACCGTGCCTGGCCCACTGGGAGCCCAGCAGGTGCAGAGGGTGGGGCTCCAGTCCCTGTGGGGTTAATGTTGGTGACGCCAAAAGAACTGCATAAGGATGGGCCGTGCTCCATGCCCTGAATGGTCCCTCTCTTCTATCAGATGCCTATGACATGGCTAAGCTCCTGTGTGACAAGTATTACATGGCCTCACCTGACCTGGAGATCCAAGAGATCAATGGTGAGGACGTGTGTATGTGTGTGTGTGTGTGTGTGTGTGTGTGTGTGTGTCTGCAGGGCTGGGGCTGGGGACAGGGAATCAGGAACATGGACTGTTTTCTTCTGGAAGGAAGGGGAGAAGCAGAGCTTCCACAGTAGTATATTATTATTACTTATCATTTGATGATTATTAAACAGGAAACACGACAGGCAAGGTCTCTGTTCTCATGGAACTCACATTCTTGGCACTGGAGGATGGGATCGTGAACCAATGAACAAACATAAACAAGATAACATCAGATCATAATCAGTGACAGGAACAAAGTAAACTGGGGTGACAGGAGAGAGTGATGGGGCAGGGCAATATAGTAGATGGGATATCAGTTTGGCTGCTTTCCCAGAACCCATATAATAGTGGCTTAATTAAGAGAGATGTTTACCTCTCTCTAGCCCCTGGGTGGAAGCTGGCTACCCACAGCCACATCTGAGCCTAGGACGTGGAAGTCAGGGCCTAGAGGTTAGACACATCACTTGCATAAGTCACCTAGCTATGTCTGGCTGCAAGGGAAGCTAGAAGTTTAGAAAATGGCTCGGCAGCCATGTGCTCAATTAAAATTTGGGAGGGAGGGGTTCTTGTACCAAGAGAAGAAGGACTGATTAGATGTTGAGAGGATGGCTGCAGGGGTCTGTGTTGGATAGAGCAGCCAGGGAAGGCCTTGTGGAGGAGGTAACACCAGAGGACCAGTGTGGTGAGGCTAGAAGGTTGAGGGGTAAGGAGTTGGAGAGAGAGACTGGGGTTGTGGATGGGAGTGAGGGCTTTGAGTGCAGTGGGAAGCCATTGGAGGGTTTGAAACAAGGTGACAACAGGGCTTGACATTCTCAAGATAGTTATAGGTTAGAGGAAGAGGAAGGGACCCAAGAAGACCAATTAGTAGTTTACTGCAGGGATCTAAGCAAGGGGAGGTAGAAGCATTGGAGATGGAGAGAAGGGGGTAGATTAGATCACCGTCTTGAAAGTAGAAGTGGCAAGACTTGCTGATGAGAAGGGAGGTGCCTGGCTGTATGTGAGAGAGAGAAGTAGGAACCTGGAAGTTACTTCCACCATCTCCCTTACCCACCTGCTCCTCTGCCACTCCCATGCCTGTGTGCCTGAGATGGTTCATGCTTCTGTACCTAGAAGTCACCCTGCACACATCCTAATCTTCCCATAAGGCCCAGTTCTAATCCAGTTTCTCCAGAAAGCCTTCCTGGACCTCCCAGCCTAGGTAGTTAGGCATTCTCCTTGTTCCAAGTGTACCTCTCTGCAGGTATAAGACATTGGAGGGCAGAGATGGATCAGTGTACTTCTGTGTCCCCAGGGCCTGGCACACAGTTCTGGGTATATACTTAATGGATGGGTGAGCAGATGGATGGACAGACATAGTGTGATGGATGGATATGGGATGGATGGATAGATGGTCGAATGGATGCTGAATGAATGGATAGATGTGTGGATGAATGCTGAATGAATAGATGACCAGATGGACGGACAGTGGATGGGTGGTTGAGTGCTGGATGCTAGATACTGGGTGAATAAGTGTTGAATGGTGACCACTTGATAATTTCCTGTTCTTTGGTCTTGATTTTCCTGCAGCATCCAACTCCAAACAGCCAATTCACATGGTCTATGTCCCGTCCCACCTCTACCACATGCTTTTTGAGCTCTTCAAGGTAAGGAGACTGGGACATGGTCCCTCAGGGGCTGGGGGGGGAGGACTAGGCTTCTCTCAATCATCTCTTACCTCATTCCCTCCACAGAATGCCATGCGGGCAACAGTGGAAAGCCATGAATCCAGCCTCGTTCTCCCCCCTATCAAGGTCATGTTGGCCTTGGGAGAGGAAGATCTGTCCATTAAAGTATGGCCCTTGACCCTGGGACCAGGGAGCAGGGCGGGTAGGGGCTTCCTACCTGGGGCCAAGATGTAGACTTTCATCTAACCCTCTCTCATATGATGGGCTCAGGGCAGATCCTGATGGGGATGATGACCATGATGGGGTTGGAGGTGCCAGGGGTAGAGCTGTATGGAAAATTCGACTCTGGAGAGGCCCTGACATGCCGCATCTCCTCCAGATGAGTGACCGAGGTGGGGGTGTCCCCTTGAGGAAGATTGAGCGACTCTTCAGCTACATGTACTCCACAGCACCTACCCCTCAGCCCGGCACTGGGGGGACCCCGTTGGTGAGATGGCATCACTCCAGCCCCCCTCTGGCCTCCCAGGAAGATGGTTGTCTGTCTTTTCATGTCTTCTTGTCCGATTGTCACCCTGCCCCATCTCTTGCTTCATTACCTCCCATGGCCTCTTCCTTTTTGTGTGGCTGCATGTGAGGGCACTTGTCTCTCCCCGAATCTCTGGGCCTGTCCATTCCTGAGTCTCTCATCTCTCTCCAGCCTGCACTCAGCCAAGTGCCTGTCGGGTGTCTGTCTGTCACTGTCCCCTAGTTCACCCTCTGCCCTCTGCCTTTCTCCCGCTGCATTCCTACCTTTCTCTGGACATTGTTCAGCTCACCGACGCCTCCCTCTCAATTCCCAGGGGAGGGTTTATCATCTCTTTGTACAGATTGAGATTCAGAGGGGTCCTGTGACCTGTCCAGACTCACACCCAGGACTTCTGGCTACCAAAGCAAGCTCCTCTCCCTGCCCCACATACTGTTCCCCCCGACACACACACCTCTCTCTGTGTCCACCAGCTGATTTTCTTCAGCCCACACACACCTGTATAATGCCTCAAAGTTGTCTCTTTCTCACATCCCCTCTGTGCCCCAGCTCCAGGAATCCTGCCCTGCATGACCCCAGTTCGCACCCTTCACCCCACATCCATGCCTCCATCACTCCCCATACCAATCCATCCAGCCACCAGGAAGCCAAGTACCAGCCACCTCTTCACCCCACTTTCCTCCTGCCCCCTCGCAGGCTGGCTTTGGTTACGGCCTCCCCATTTCCCGCCTCTACGCCAAGTACTTCCAGGGGGACCTGCAGCTCTTCTCCATGGAGGGCTTTGGGACCGACGCTGTCATCTATCTCAAGGTAAGGCCCTGTCTGTGGAGCGGCTGAGGTGAGGGGTTTGTCCCAGCCGTTAGGTTTTACATCCCTCCCTCCAGGCCCTTCCTGGTCCCAGACTCTGGGAATCTGAGTAGAACTACAGTTCCTCAAGCTGTGTCACTCCCCTGGGCACACCCAGCTTGGCAGGCAATTTCAGGGAGTCCAGAGCCCAAGATTAAGACCCTGTGCTGGGGACCCTTGACATGTTAGACTCGGAGGGAAGGGGAGCCACAGAGGTCTTGCCCTTTAGCTCCTCATGCTTGCATGGGGAGACTGAGGTTCAGAGTTGATGACCTTGCTCAAGGTCCCAGAGGATGCCAATCCCTTCCCCTTTCAGTGGGCAGCTTTCTTGAATGGACAGGGGCAGGACACAGAGGGACAGACCTTTTCCTGGGAGTCTCAGGGCCTGAGGGGCCTTGTCTTGCCGTTGTCTGGTGTGTAGGCTGAGCTGATTCAGACGTGGGGTGGGAGATGTTGGCCATGGTCAGTGGCCACCACAGCCCACCTTGGAGAAAGGGTGGTAGGAGTGGGCAAGGCACTGGGAAATGGGGGAGGCTGACCCCAGCGCTCTCCAGGCCCTGTCCACGGACTCGGTGGAACGCCTGCCTGTCTACAACAAGTCAGCCTGGCGCCACTATCAGACCATCCAGGAGGCTGGCGACTGGTGTGTGCCTAGCACGGAGCCCAAGAACACGTCCACCTACCGTGTCAGCTAGGGGACCCCCACTCATCTGCCCCTGAGAGGATGGATTGCTGTCTCTGGGGCTGGCCACCATGGGGACCCTTCCTGTCCCCCAGGGTCTGGGTGGGGGGTTTTCTCTGATGACCAGGTTCTGTCTATGGAAATCACTGCAATGACACGTCTGTGGTGGCCCCTACGTGCCAATCTTTGCCTCTGTGGAGACCCATAGGTGGTTTCCTTGGTGTCCAATCTCTGTGGGTGAAGCCTGAGAGTTGGGGGGGCAATCTCCTCCCTGATTGGGTGTTCCAGAGGTCCTTTTCCATGGCAGTCCTCTTGGAGACCAGGCTGTCACTTTCTGCCAGGGGCCCTGGGTCCCCCTCACTGCCCTACACAGACCTGACTTTTCACGTGGGTGACCTGCTTGCCTTATTCCCCCAGCCCTGGCCCTGGCCCTGGCCCATTGTCAGTGTTAGGAAAGGACTAGAAGCCCCCAGATCTGGGATAGTGGGTGGGGAAAGGGATAGGGTTCTGGGACCCCAGTCATGGACCTGGTCCTGCAGCCTTTCCCTCCACTCTGAGCCTTAAAGTCGAGGCTGCAAGGAGAGAGAGGCTCTTGCCCCAGGGCACTAAAGTGGAGGAAGCTGGGGAGCCTGGGAAGTTGCCCACCCACCGAGCTGCTCCAGGCTCTGCAGGCTCCCTCCCCAGCCCTTCCCTGGATGTCCTCAGATGCACACACTCACCCGCCTCCCCTACACACACACAGTCCCTAGCTCCTGCTGTGCCTACACGCACATGTGCTTGGGGTGGCTTTCCCCCTTGAACGCTCTGTGTACACAGCTAGTTCCATAACCCTGAATGCCCCCCTTCCCCTAGTATACGGGGTTAGAATTGTGTGCTCCTCCTCCCAGTGGCTGTGATGGTGACAATGACAACCACAGTAAAGAGGAGACTGAATGAGACTGTGGCCTGGCTGCTTTCCTGGGTGGGTGGGTGGGAGTAGGGGGCAGGGATCATGCCCACGAACACACAGACTGTGGCACCCCGTTGAGCAACACGTGACACACTCTGGCAACCAGCCCAGCTCACTGGACCCCAAGTGAAGCACCAGCCCAAGCCATCCACTCAGAACACCTGACAGACCAGCAGTAGGGACAGACACATCACCTACCACCCTCTGCAAAACCCCATCCTCCATGGGACAGACAGGAAGGTCACTGGCACATCGTACATGTTTATTGAAATAAATTAGAACCACCTCCCCCTTCACATGCAGGTGGGCACCCACTATAGCTCCTGACACCTTCAAGGACACAGGTGCTTTCCAGCCTCCCTGGGCCCATCCAGCAGCCCCAGATGGTGCCAGTGTCCCCATAGCTCAGTCCCCCTCTGAAGTTCCTCTCCTAGCACAGATGGCAGAAGAGGATGGGGCAGAGTCCCAGGGACATGGCCCTGGCCATTCCAGGTTGGCCCTCAAGCTGCAGCTCCAGGGCCAGGGGAGGCAGTGGCTCTCAGAAATAGAGGAGCTCAACTGCACCCCACACAGAAATGAGGGGAGTCAGCAGGGGCTCCTACCTGTCCAGCCCTCCAGGCAGGTGGGAGGAGGTGGAACGGGGTTCCAGTCAGAGGCCCCTGACTTGACTGGTAACTCCAGCCAGGGCCCTGCAAGTTGGGCTAGCTGCTGGCCAGTATCTGACCTGCTCCTTCCCAGACATTCACTAACAAGGACAGATGCCCTCTCTGGTCTGCTGTGGTAGGCTGGATAGCCAGCCCCCACCCCCACCCAGAGGGCTGGCCTCGCCCGCCCAGTAGCCCAAGCATCTGGGGCCTTCACAATCCACCCAGTTCTGAGGGCCACTGAGGCCCTGACAGGGACCTAAATGGGGAGGGTTGATGAACACTTCCAATCCACTGGTTTCCAGGGGCCCTCCTAGGTTGTGCCCCTGCCTGGCTGGGGTGAGGGTTCACCAGTTCTGCACCACCTAGGCAACGGTGGTGGGGTGTCCTCTCCATCAGCTCCCAGGTCTCCTCTGCCCCCACAGGGCCCAAGGGCCCTCGAGGAAGCAGCAGGAGAAATGGGCCACAGCTTGAGGAATGGGTCAAAGGCTAGACCTTGAATGGGCCCCAGGAGGGGCAGATCTCTATGGATGTCATCTTGCCTGTTGGGACCCACGGGACAGGGAAGGGAAGAGAAGGGGATTTTCATCCTCCCTTCTGAAGTCCTTACAAAGATCGCACTTGGCCCCATGCTGCTTCCTGTGCTCTCCTGCCAAGGACTTCGGCTGGGAGTCTACCCTGAGTGTGGCTTGCTGCAGTGCCCACCGGCCTCCCTGGGGAGCAGCACAGAGCTCTCCCAACCCACAGCCACCTCTGCGAGCTGGGGAGCAACAACTCTGTGTGCCTGCTCCTGCAGGGAAGCTTGATCCTACTTCTCTGAGCCCTGAGACCCTCACGCCTCTCGGGGCCTCTGGAAGGCAGGCAGGGAGGCATCCCTGTTCACTTCCGGCTCCCGGCACCACCCTTGGCTATGGGCGAGTGGTCAGCCTGACCCAGGCCACTCTGGGGTCCCAGGGTGCTTCAGCCCTGGCCTCTTCTTCCCTTGATCTGCCACCTCCCCCAGGAACTCTTCCAGATAAGTCCTTGAAACCCTTTATAACTGGCTCTTCTCCCTGGGGTCTCCCTTTCTGGGGGCTCTAGGTCCAGACAGGGTGAGAGGATATGTGCCTCTCGAGAGTGTGAGGCCAGGCTGTCCCAAGCTTGGTGCCCAGGCCCAGCCTCCCCAGTGAGGCCTGTGCCTGCCGAACGGTGCCTGGGTACCAGCGCCTGCCCCCGCCTCCCCTAGCTCTTCTTGGCCTCCTGCTCTCTGCGCCGGAGCTTCTCTCGCTGCCGTGCAGCCTTCTCCTGGGCCTTGCGCTCCTTCTCGGCAGCCGCTGCCAGCTCCTTCAACTTCCGCTTCACTAGTGCCCGGTCATGCGAGTTGCTGAGCCCCAGGCTCTGGGGGAGGAAAGTGAGTGTGAGGGGTGGAGGCCTGGCCTGCAGCCTGCACAGAGTCAGAGGTCAGGGGCCAGCTGGCGGTATAGCCAGGGTGAGGGAAGGAGTCCCAGAACCATCCATGGCCCCAGGCAACCCAAGCTCCCTGGTACTTTCTGCCCCCTTCTCCTCTGAGCTTTTGAAGTCCTCCCTGAATGTAAACTCCACCTCCCAGACTGTGACTCTCCAATGGGTCAGACTGGACGGGGTTGGGAGAGATGAGGGTTGAGGGCCCTGGCCCCTGTCGCTCTAGGATTTCAGTCTTGGGATAACCCTGCCCAAGCCCCTGAGGCCTAAAGATGAGAAGTGACTTGCCCAAGGTCACAGAGCTGGTCAGTGGGTGAGGTACACCACTACTACTGTCGGCAGCTTCCAAGGCTCATCTGAGGTCAAAGGTCAAAGAGTTGGGCTTGAGTTTCAGACAGACTGGGGAGCCAAGGATTAGGCCAGGGATCTGGCTTGGAGGTCAGAGATCAGGGCAGTGGTCTTAAACTGAAAAAAAAAAAAAACCTCACTGCCGTCGAGTCTGATCCAACTCACAGCGACCCCTCCTTGAGTTTCTGAGGCAGTGTCACTATGGGAGTAGATTACCCAGTCTCCTTCTGAGGAGTGGCTGATGGGTTTGAACCGCCAGCCTTCTGGTTAGCAGTTGAATGCCTTAGGCACTACACCACCAGAGTGGGCTTAGAGGGAATGAAAAGGTCGGCCTGGGAGGCTGAGCTAAAGGTCAAACGTCAGGATGAAAAGAGGCTCCGGCTCAGGCTGGGGTCATGACCCTTCCACCCTGACCTACCTTTAGTTTGCTTCCATCCAGCTGCAGTAGCTGCGGCCCGTCCACCTGCCGTGCAGCAAACTCGGCAGCATACTGCTCCAGGTTGAGGCTGTGCAGCCACTGGCCCACCTGCTGACTGGTCCAGTGGTGGACTGTGGGGAGGGGTTCCTCCAGGAACTGGGCAGAGACCAAAGAAAGTGAGGGGTGGAGGCCTGGCCTGCAGCCTGCACAGAATCAGAGGTCAGGGGCCAGCTGGTAGTGTGGCCAGCCATACTCACCTCATCTGAAGACTGGGACAACGTGTGATACGGGTAGGAGCACTTGGCCTCTTGTCGGGGGCCACTTGGGATCTTGGGGCTGCTGCTGGGGGGCGTGGAGTCATCACTCAAGGTGGATTCCTGCACAGGAGGTGGGGGGTTGCATGTAGCTGAGCAGAGAGCTCACCCCAAGCCAAGGGAGTCCTCTGAACCCACCACCCCCATTCACATGGAGTCCAAGTCCTGGACTGGACACCAGAGTTGCTCAGCCTCCCCTGTGCATGGGCCAGGAACTGGGCAGGCACATAGGAAGGGTATGCTGCTCATGGGAGCTGTCGGGACCTCTGGGTTCTGGGAGAGCAGGCAGCTGCCTGGAGGACATGGGGCTAGAACTGAGCCAGGCAGAATCGTTGGAAGGAATGGAGGCAGTCACAGGATAGATGTCGTTTCCTACTGGCAGCCTACAATGTTTCAGCAGGCTGGGTCAGGTGCCCCTGCTGTGTCCCTCCCCACCATGGCCTCTAGCTCGCTGGGGTGTAACTGCCTGATTTGAAGTCTTTGTCCTCATTGGGCTGTGAGCTCTATGAGGGCCTGGGCTGTGTCTTGTTCAGCACGGTAGCTCTAGGGCCCAACATAAGGGAAGGACGAAAGGGGGGGAGTCGGAGGAGGGTGTACAGGGAAGGAAGAAAGAAGGAAGTCCCAAGTCGGAAGGGGCTCTCTCCTTTAATTTCCCAGCATTCTAGTCTCCTGGGCAGCACATAAAGAACAGAACCACACTCACTCCCATGGCTTCCAGCCAAACAATAGGCACATGGGGTGAACATTCACATCAGGTAGATACACTCCTTGGAGTATTCAATCATGGGAGAACAGAAGGGCAGTGTTTGCACAAGGAGACAGCTTGGGGCAGGAGTGCATAGATAAGGACACAGGGAAGAACTACAGCGAGGAAGTGGGGAGAGAGCTGTTACATTGTGGGGAATTGCAGTCAGTGTCATGAAAGAAAATGTGTATGAACTGATGTATGGAAAATGAATTTGCTCTGTAAATTTTCACCCAAATCACACACACACACACAAAAAAAAGAGTAGAACCACAGAAGGAGCTTGGAGCCTTGCAA